AATGTAGGGCTCGAACCCATGGCTCTGAGATCAAGAGTCACATGCTTTTCCAACTGAGCCAGCCTGGCGCCACAAGGTTTGCAATTTTAGATGAGAGTTACCAAGGAAGACCTCACCAAGGGGGAACTTTTGAAAAATGAACTAGTGGAAGTTGGGGTTGGTGGGGTAAGAACACTCCAAACTGAGGAGTAAGCAAGGGCAAAGGCCTTGAGAGGTAAATGTCTTACAATGTTCTCTTCCAGGTATAGTAAGGAGGTCAGTGTGGCTGGAGTGGAACTAATGAGGGAGAGAGTAGCAGGAGAGAAAATCAGAGGCCACAGAGGGCCCAGATCATGTAGAGCCTTGTAGATCCTAGTACAGATTTTGGTTTTTAGTCTTGAGTGAAATGGGAAAACTCAGTGTTTTGAGCAGCGAAGTGACATAATCTAATTCAGGTTTTAACCGGATCAAATTGACTGCTCTAAGCAGGGAGATAAGAATAAAAGCTGGAGGATCATTTAAAACACTATTTAGGCTAGAGATAATGGTGATTTCGGTCAGAGTGGTGGCAGTGGGGGCGGTGAGAAGTGTTGAAATTCTAGATATATTTTTGAAGATAAAACTGACAGGAATTGTTGACCCACTGGGCATGAAAGAAAGAGAAGGTTAAAGAGTGACGTCAGACTTTTTGGCCTAACCAACTAGAAGGATAGGGTTGCTTTTAACAAAGATTGGGAAGATAGTGAGAGGGCTGGTTGGGAGCTGGGAGTATTAAGAGCTCTGTTTTGGACCTGGTAAGTTTGAGATGTCTAATTAGATTTCCATGTAAAAATGTTAAGTAGGCAGTTGAATTTTGCTTTTGAAGTTTAGGGGAAAGGTCCTCGCTAAAGATATTATTTGATAGTCATCTGTGTATAGATTGTACTTAAAGATGAGACTTTTAAAAATGAAAAAAAAAACGATTAGGTAGATTATGGGAACCATTTCATATATCTGATAATGTGACCCTAAAGATTTGTTATTTCAGGCTTTGTATCAGCAAAATGGGATGTACATGAGACAAATGTCAGAATGTACATAAAAATGTTCTGTAAGTGAAATCAAGTGATATGTAGATAAAGATATACCAAGAAGTGCAGTACCAGGGAAAAGTGATCTTAAATCCAGGAATTTCTGTCTTTATTTTATTTTGAGGAATCTAAACTTCCATGAGATTAGGAAGCAGAGAAGCAGACCTAGAAATGGAACCCAGGTGTGTCTAATCCCAAAGCTCATGCTCTTCTTACTCTGCACCACACAAGTCAAGAGGATATGTGCTGTTCATTTCCTACCTGTATCCATGAAATGCAATGTAGTATAAGAGTGAGCATCAGACTGGGGTTACAAGGCCTGAGTTTGTATCTCAGATTTGCCATTTCTAGCTGAATGATTTGAATAAGTCTTTTCATTTCTCTGGACACTAGTTTTCTCATCTATAAAAGAGTTGTAATTAAACCTCACATAGTTGTTATAATAGTCAAATGTGAAAGGCTTTGTAAACTCTAAACCACTCTATGCAGGTGTGGAGTTAATATGCTAGGGAGCAATTTGATTTACAATAGCATCAAGAATAAAATGCTTAGGAATAAGTTTAACAAAAGAAGTATAAGACTTATACACTGAAAACTACAAAACACTCTTGGAAGAAATTAAAGATCTAAATAAATGGAAAGGCATCTCATGTTCTTGTGGAAGAGGTAATATTGGTAAGGTGTTAATATCCACAAATTGATCTACAAATTCAGTCCAATCTCTATCAAAATCTCAGTTGGTTTTTTCACATAAATTGACAGAATGATCTTAAAATTAATATAAAAATATAGGGGACCCAGAATAGCCAAAACAATCTTAAAAAGGAAGAACAAATTTGAAGTACTCATACTTCCTCGTTTCAAACTTATTATAAAGCTACCATAATCAATACATTATTATACAGTCATAAAGAAAGACATACAGATCTTTCAAAGAGAATTGATAGTCCGGAAATCAACCCTTATTATGTGTATGGTTAACTGATTTTCGATAAGGGCCAAGACAATTTATTGGGGAAAGAATAGTTGTTTTTTTTTTTTTTTTTTTTACCAGAAATGATGCTGGGAAAAAGGATATTCACAAGCCAAAGAAAGAAGTTGGGTCCCTATTTCATAACCATACAAAAAAATTAACTCAAAATAGATCAAATGATTTTAATTGATAACTCAATTTAAAAACAGTCAAGGGTCTGAATAGATATTTTTTCAAAGAAGATAGACACCTGGCCATTCAGCACATTAAAAAATGCTCAATACCATCAGTCATTTGGGAAATTCAAATCAAAACCACAGTGAAATTCCATTTCACACCCACATAGGATGGCTATAATCAAAAAGATAATAGGTATTGGCAAGGATATAGAGAAATTGGCATCTTTATATTAATGGAGGATAGTCGGAAGAAAGATAGGCAGGGGAAAGGGCGGCCCTGTTCTAGGAGGAAACTGCTCTTGGTTCAGGGTGCTCAGATGGTATGTAGCGTGACTGAGTGGTCTAAGGCACTGGATTAAGGCTCCGGTCTCTCTGGGGAGGTGGGTTTGAATCCCGCCGCTGCCAAAACATTTTTTTGGGCGCCTGGGTGGCTCAGGTTGGTTAAGTGTCTACCTTCAGTTCAGATTACAATCTCAGGGTTCTGAGTTCTTATGATATTTATGATATTTAAGCAGAGAGCTTGATCTGGTGGCCTGCGACTGACCAGCATGCCTTAGGGCGGTGGCGGCTGCAGTCCTCTTGATCCCCAAGGCTTGGAAACACCACTCTGGAAGGAGTCCTCCACCCTTTCCCACGTGAACAACTACCTGATAGGTAGATGAGTGCGTGGACAAAAACTTGATAGGGTGACAGGTGCCTGGAGGGTTAATCAGATTAAACAACCTGCCAGAAATCTCATAAAAATGCCTGGACTTAGAAACTCTGAGGGCAACCCTCTCAGGTGCTCTCCTTCTTTGGGAGCTTTGTGCTATCAATAAACTTTGCTTTGTTGCCCACCACTGTTTATCGGGTCTACCTCTTCATTCTTTGAAGTGGTGTGACCAAGAACCATGGGCACTAAAAGAAAAGAAATCCTGAAACAATATGTTGCTAGTGGGAATGTAAAATAGTGTGGCTACTTTGGAAAAAGTTTGACAGTACATTAAAAGGTTAAGTCACCATATATCCCAGAAACTCCATTCTTAGGTATATACCCAAGAGACATGAAAGCCTGCACCCACGCAAAAACTTGTACACAAATGTTCAGAGAAGCAATGTTGTTCATAATAGCCAAAAAGTGGAAACAATACGCATGTGCATCTGATGAGTAGATAAATAAAATGTGATATATCCATACAATGGAATATTACTTGGCATTAAAAAGGAATAATGTACTGATACATGCTACAACATAAATGAAACTTGAAAACATTATGCCAAAGTGAAATGTCAATCACAAAAGACTACATATTATATAATTCCATTTATATGAAATGTAAATGTAAAGGCAAATGTATAGGGGTAGAAAGTTGATTAGTGGTTGTCTGGGGCTGAGAGTGAGGAGGTATGGGAGAGGGGAATAGGAATTAACTGCCATGAGTATGGGTTTTGTTTTGAGGTGATGAAATTTTCTAAAATTGATTGTGGTGATGGTTGTAAACTCTGAACATATTAAAAACCATTGAATTGTACATTTTATATAGGTGATTTTTGTGATAGAGGAATTATATCTTAACAAAGCTGTTAACAATATTGTTAAGAATGCTATCAGTGGAGTATTGGGTTTTTACTCAGCTAAACTAAATAGCCAGTTTTAATGACTGATTCTGTTTACATCATTCTGAAATGTTGTGTGAACCAGCCAAGACTAATAAAATACCATTTCTTTAACGGTGGGAGGATGGGTCAGCCTGGTGATGGGTATTAAAGAGGGCACGTTCTGCATGGAGCATTGGGTTTGATACGCAAACAATGAATCATGGAACACTACATCAAAAACTAATGATGCAATGTATGGTGATTAACATAACATAATAAAAAAATAAACAACAACAACAAAAAAAAGCTAATATAAAATGAAGATCTTTGAGTAATGCCCAGAGTTTCTGATTCCAGATCCAGGGGAATTTTTTCAGTTCTACCATCCTATTTCCCAAAGTACTGTACTAAGAGGAAAGTATTATTTAAAAAGAAAAACGGTGTCTCGGTGGCTCAGTTGGTTAAGCGTCTGCCTCTTGGCTCAGGTCATGATCCCCAGGTCCTGGGACTGAGCCCCATGTTGGGTTCCTTGCTCAGTGTGGACCCTGCTTCTCCCTCTTCCTCTGCTCCTCTCTCTTGCTCACTCTCCCTCCTGCTCTCTCTCCCTCTCAAATAAATAAATAAAATCTTAAAAAAAAAAAACAGTTTTTTTTTTAAAGCTGAGATAAGTAGCATTTTTAAATATGGGAAGTTTCTTTGTTTTGTTTTGTTTTAATCACTCTGGTAGTTGGGTCCTGGAAAAGAAGGAAACTGGTATTAATTGAAGGACTCCTCTGTGCCTGACACTTGTGCTTATTCAGTACATCCATATCTACCGTCTGGTTTAACCTTTATAACAACCTTAGGAGGTCGGCCTTATTATCTCTATTTTACAGATGAGGAAACGGAGCCGGGTAGCTTGTGTGTCATCTAGTTTTTGAGTGATGAAGCTGGGATTGAAATTCAGCCTTCTGAATTCCAAGTCCTAGTGTAATCTGGGTTGATTCATGGAGCACCACCTTCAGCCTTCTCTGATTCTGTTTCTTGCACCTGGTTGCAGAAATGTTATAAAACTCCAGCATGAAGTAGCTTTTTATATGGCAGATTAGATCCTCATATCAAATACCCCAGGTTATGAACTTGTAATTTTAGGTGTTATGCATATAATAGGTTTCTTCTATCTTATCTGGGCGTAGTTATGAAAAACTAACCATCTTATTTTTTCTTCTTTCCCTCACTTAGCAATGGTGAACTAGACCCCTGGTCAGGAGGTGGAGTAACCAAGGATATCACAGACACCTTGGTTGCAATCACCATCCCAGAAGGGGCCCATCATCTAGATCTCCGAGCCAGAAATGCCTTTGATCCCACGACTGTGCTATTAGCCCGCTCCTTGGAAGTTAGACACATGAAGCAGTGGATCAGAGATTTCTATGCCAATCAGAGAAAGAAGCACTGAGCAGTTTTGATCATTTTCAGTTTCTTCTTTTATGTTCATTCTACCCATGTTCCCATTCACTTTGGTTTTCTACATGTAATTACTTTTCCTTGTTTGTCATTAGATTTGGTGGGGCGAAGGTTGAGATAGAAGAGAGGGTGATGGTGGTGACGGCAGACATCCCACATCCCGGGTCCTCGCCATCTTCACGCCACCTCCAGGAAGAATCTCTTTGTGACAGCTTTCCTACACCATCAGTGGCCCTCATAACTGGAGCAGAGTTCCTGACTGCCTTTCACAAGAGGGAGAGTCACTTCTTTTGTTTCTCTGCAAGCAGGGCTTTCTCTTGGTTTTGAGATTAAAGTCTCTTTGGTTCATTTGTCACTCCCCATCCCTCCCCCCCCAAAAAAAGAAACACAGAAAATAGATAAAAATGATGTAATTGCAGCTGGTAGGAAGGATGTCCGATGCCAATCCAGGAAATGGAAGCCGTTTCTTTTGTACTTGATTCAATGACTTTGAACTGTGCTATAAATAAAGAGTAAGGCTGGACCTTATACCTGTGTGTTGCTTCTGAAGCTCACTCCAGCTGTTGGGAATGCTGTATACACTGGGCTTGGCTGCTTTTGGAAAGTCCTTTAATTTTCTCTCTTCTATTTGGCAGCTTTTCTCTGTTCTGGGATATTTGCCACTGTGGTACTGCCAGTAAGAAATCTGGCCTTTTTCTGCTCCATTTCTCTTTGTTGCTCAGGTCAGTTTTGTGGTAATTTGGTTACATTTTGCCAATTTAGGAGAATGACTCTGTTTTGCTTTTGCTTTTACATCTGAGCAAGCTTTTATATACTGCAGTCACTGACGATACTTCAGTGAGAAGCCTTTAAAAATTGATGAATCAACTATTTAGAAGATAGAATGTAGTTATATTCAGCATTTTGTTTTTTAAATTTTATTTTCTGGTGGTTGTTACTGCTGTCATTAAAGTCAGAAGTGTCAGGGAGCTAAGAGGCAGGTGCACGAGAACTTTTCTGTATGGCTTCCAAAAGACAAGCTGACTAATTCATGCAGGCAGCATATTTGACATTAATAAATAGCCGAGCCATTCCTATTTCCAAGGGGTTGGCTTCTTTCAAGCAGTTCTTACACTGAGACCTTTCTTCAGAAGAGCTTTTCTAGGATAACAAATAGGGTTGGATCAAAACCTTTCAGGAACACAGAGAGAGACTAACAGTTTCTACTCTGTTGAAAGATTTCTTCCCCCTTGTTTCTTTTTATTTTCTTCACCCTGCCTTGGGACATTTTCTGCTTTTCAAAAACTGTACCTTGAGCTCAGTCATTTCTAAAGCACTTATTTTTTTTAGAGTGTAGATATAGAGTGCATTCTTGGGTGGGAAACTGAAATATTTCTCTACTTTCCCAGCATCTGGGAGATAGAGAAAAAATCTTTGTCTGGTTTTGGAAGCCTTCAGTTCTCATTGTAATGAGTTGTCCATCAAAGCATTTGGTCACTATTTTTGTTTCTGCATCTAAGAAAAGTCTGCTGGAGTGAGAATTTAAGGGTCAAAACAATACTAGTTTTTATTCTGTATCAACTAAGAAGTCATATAATGCTGGGTTTAAGGGCTTAGTAGAGGAGATGCCTACTATTTATTTTAGGTAGTATTGATTTTGTGATATTTTTCTTGAAACCTTATACTTGTTTAAAATATTTAAAATATTTTGCCATTTGATGTAATATTGTTTGGATGAGTTACATTTTTGTGAAGAGGCATATTGCCAAAAATTGCTATATTTTTATGCAAGTATAATTTGGAAAAACATATGTACATGTTTTTCAATATATAGTTTCATTACAGAAAGCAAACTTAAGTTAACCTAATTATGCTAGAATTTAATTTTTAAGTTGAAAAAGAATTGGAACAAGAAATAAGCCTTATTTAAAGCATTTCTCTCATCAGTAGATGATGCTTTTGAAAGACATGGAAAGAGAAACCTAAAGAATTGGGGTGTTTTTATTTCTATTTTTGTTACTTTAACTACCTGGAGTCAATAGATAGAACTAAAGAAACAGGAATCTTTCTTAAGGGATCTGTAGGATCAAGAGATTACCCAGAGGAATCAATGTCTGGTCTAGTATATTAGAAGGCGAGGGCACTCAGCTGTCATCCGGTCCAAACCCATCATTCATAGGTGATGGCATTGTGGCCCGGAGAGACAGGACTTGTCACAGCTTATTTCTGGTAGAACCAGGCCTTGAATCCAGGTTTTGTTTTGTTTTGCTGTTGTTTTTTAAATTGATATAGTGAAATAGTCTGTTTGGATAAGCAACAAAACCTCACCAAACCAGCTTAAGCAAAAGAGGGAATTTATTGAAACTTTGCAGGAATAGCTCCAGGATTTGAATAAAACTAGGAATTGTGAGGGAGTGGAACGAGGGTCTAGAAAGTCTTCATGACTTATGAAAAGTCAAGACTGCTACTTTCTGTTTCACCTCACTTTCAACAGAGGTCACCAGCCTATGGGTGAGATTTTTATAATTTGGCCAGCAGTATAAAATGTATACCTACATTTTATATACAGAGTTACAGAGGGCTTGTTAAACTCTATATACAGAGTTACCTAAAGGGCTTGTTAAAACACTGAATGCTGAGCCTCACCCCAGAGTTTGTAATATGTTGTGGGGGTGGACCCTGGGAAGTTGCCTTTCTCACAAGTTCCTAGGTGATACTGGGGCATCATACTTTAAGAACCACCAGTTGAAAGAATTCTGAATTTGAGTATCTTGAGACAGGAAATGCCCCGTCAATTCACCTCACTCCTGTTATCCTGCCTGATCCCATCTGAGTGTGGGATCCTCGCCTAAAGCGTCTCATCCCATGGTTGCTTCATTCTTTCTCTGCAGAGGAGCTTCTCTGCTGGTACAAGGCCCATAACGACTTCCCGGCATGATGTCCTCAGGCCCTTGTGGCTGCACCATCTCACAAGCCTACAACTCTCAGGTGTTTAGGGAGGGATGAGGTTATAAAACCATGGCTTCAGAGATACACTGTTTAGGATGGAGAGGAAGCAGTTCAGGCAAATATATATATATGTATATATTTGTCTCACAGTGTTTTCCAGAACATAAGTATCCAACAAAATGCCAATATGTAGTAGAAAGATCCACAGGTAAGCTAGTTTGAAAAATGATGGGTCAAACAAAGTTAAATACTTGCTCTTTTTTGTTTTTAATCTGTAAATATGCATTGTGTCTCTCCAAAATGGTAATGGAGAATGCAGCTTTTCCTGTTCTTACAGAGCAATCTACAAGGCATAAGGCATTCTGGGACTTGGAGAAAACAATGGTGAAAAAGCAAACACAGTATTTGTTCTAATAAAGTTTATGTTGTAGTGGTAGAAAGACATGAAATGTCAAGTTATACAATGAGTTGGTATAAGTGCCCTGAAGAGTGGGGGTTATTAGCAGGGAATCTGAGCTAGTCTGCAGGAAGAAGAGAATGCTACTTAGAGATGTGATTTTTTTTTTTAAGATTTTATTTATTTATTTGAGAGAGAGAGAATGAGAGACAGAGAGCACGAGAGGGAAGAGGGTCAGAGGGAGAAGCAGACTCCCTGCCGAGCAGGGAGCCCGATGCGGGACCCGATCCCGGGACTCCAGGATCATGACCCGAGCCGAAGGCAGTCGCTTAACCAACTGAGCCACCCAGGCGCCCGAGATGTGATGTTTTAGCTGTGATCTAAGTGTGAATGGAAACTATATAGGAAGAGGAGTGGAGAAAATGGCATGTGCGAAAGCCTGGAATGTAGCATATTCCAGGAACTGAAAGAAGGCACTGTAGTAGGATAGCAGACCACAGGGAAAGTGACATAAAATGAAGCTGCATATTTGGGCAGGGAGAAAGCTCATTCAAGTAGACCATGATTAGGAGTCGTCATAAGGAATGAGAAATCAATGATGGTCCTATGTCGGGAGTGACATGAACACATTTTCATTTAAAAAGGTCACGCTGGAATATGCATTGTAGGGGGCAAGCATGTGATGTAGAGACCACATTATTTTTGCATTTGTCCAGATTAGAGAAGAGGGTAGCTTTGACTAAGGTGGTAGAGGTGGCAATGAGAAGTAGATGAATTTGGGAGAGATTTAGTAAGGAATGTCAATGGGATTTGGTGATGTATTCTCTGAGATATGAGTTGGACAGATGTCAAGGATGATTTTTGGCTTATGCACTTGGATAGATGTGGTGCTGTACACTGGCAAAAAGCACCAGAGGGTAGAGGGTGAGCAGGTTTGGCAGGAAGAATATGGGTTCAGTTCAGTTTTGTCAGGCTGAAGTTTTATGCAATTTGAAATAACCACGCAGAGCTAGCTGTCAAGTAGGGCTGTTGGATGTAAAGATCTGGAATCCAGTCTGGGCTGGAAAGCTTTGGTGAATAGATGGTAATCAAAGCATGGGATGTTAGTTCAAGGAACCAGTGTTCAGGAAACTTCAGGAGCCACTACTCTATTGTATCTACCATGATACATTAATTAAGGCCTAAACATCTTAATTCTCCTACACTGTAGTACATATGGCTCCACTTAGCCAACCTACCACTTGTGCTTGTGGTACAACCATGGCTTAAATTGGGATCTACCTCTCTGCACTCACTTCCCATTCTTATTTGCCACCTATTACTTTCCTTATGCCCTGCCATTCAGTCACACCAAATTTTCTCCGAAATTCCTTTCCTAGCATTACCCTCCAATATGTTTTCACAGGCAAACTTTTGTGCATCTTTCAAAGTCCAGGTCAACTCAGTTACTTCCACTGTGAAGTCTTTCTCAGTTTTCCTAAAGGGAATGAATGGTTTCCTTATTTATGCTCTCAAAGAACAGGGTTCATACCTAGTATGTCAGTGACAAGGTAAGCTCCACCAAGGTCAGGATTGTCTGTTTTATTCATCTCTGCATCTCTAGTACCTTAAACGGTGCCCAACTACCTCTAATTTAGTACACATATCCCAAATTGTGATATTTTGCTAAATGTTCTCACCGTCTTTTTAGGAAGACCAAGCTCTTTGAGAGCAGGAACTATGTCTTATTCTTTCTAGTAATCAGCATCTAGGATGGGGTCTGGCAGCCAGGTCTCAGTAGGCCCTCTGTAAATTTATGTGAGTAGATACATTTCAGGGTGGAAAGGCCAAGCTTTCTATCCATTGGTCTCTCTAGCAAAGGGCCTTTCACAGCTCTTATGTGCTCATGTGACCTCCTGTCCCAGGCTTTCCTAGATTTTGGAAAGGGGATGTCTTAGTACTCAATACCCCTAGAACTCAGACTTCCTGATTTACCTTCTCTTCAACTGAGTGTGCTGTTGGTTCCCTCTCCCACTCTGTCAGCCTGGCACTCTGTCACGGTGCTGAATGTAACCCTGTCTTGAGGTTAGGTGGGAACTAGACCATTAGAAACAGAGACATGCAAGTGGATGGATATCTCTGAAGCCGTTTTTCAGTGCAAAGGGTCAAAGAAGGGGCTGGTTCCAATAGATTTTGTTACCTACTAATGGAGATGGGAGGATGG